TTTTTTTTTTTTTTTTTGTGGTGATGGTGGTGTTGGCTTTTTAATTGACCTATCAAACAGTTCTTGTTATAGTAAATGCCAACAGAACACTAATGGAAAATCAGCCCTCTCTGACTTCCAGGTCATACATGAGAGCTCATCTAGCAAATCTCACAGCACAGAACTTGATTTCAGTCTTCAAATAAGCAAAACTTACTTTAAAAATGTCCTGGTATTTTAAAGGAGATGGTGAAATACCTTTAAAATATGAAACTTGCTGAAGTGAGAAGTAAAATTAATAATATAATCAAGAACTGAAAAAACATTGTTTTTTTATATAATTAGCAGCTCATTTTGAGTTAATTATCTACAATTACAAAAATCTAATTGCAATTTATCCTCTACTGTCTGTAGGAAGAATTGTAGACAAGGGAATGTGCATCACTGCCAGGCATAAATGCTATAGGATGGGTACAAATAATAGAGGAACCCTTAATGAAAAAAAAAGCAAATAGGAGCATGCAGCTGTGCCAGACTATTGAAAGGTAATTGTAGTCAGAAATGAGGTATGTAGTTTAAAAGGCATCTTGTCATCTCCTGTAGGGATTAATTTTTTCCCTCATTGAAGAAAGCAGAAAAGATTCCACAAGCAAATACAGTGCAGAGTTTGATTTCTGATACAGATTTTCCTCATAGACTGTTAGTGAAAGTGAAAGTTTTGATCTCAGGGGCTACTTCAAACTATAGCTAGATTTTCAAAGGTTGCCTGTTTCGTTTTGTCTTCTGCTCATGCTAATAAAGTCTTTTTGTTGTCATTTTCAACAAGCACTGTCCATCTCAGCCTATTTGGATACCTATTCTGGTATGAATTTGCAGTGTTGGATTTGTCCTTTTCCCTGATGTTGAGATGAAATGTGCCTGTCCCTTTGCCTAGTTGCAGCTGGGCCAGCATTTAGGATCTGAACCACCTTCAGATGCAGGATCTCTATTTCTCTATGGTACAGCAGTCAGAGCAGGTTTTATTGAGGATGGTTTTCTGTAGCTTGGAGTTCTCCTAAGTGAGCCCACAGACAATTTGCAGCTATGGAGATGGTAGCTTGTGCAATTAATGGCAAGTTGTCTGTATAATTTCTTTTCAAGTCTGCCCCAGTGTGCAAGATGCTTTAAAATATTCAAAATAAAAACATAACCTGATGCATTTGTTTAGCATAAAACAGTCTTTTACAAAGTGCTTTCCATCTCCCAGACACAGATGCTTGGTACATGCTCAAGTACCCACTCCATGCGTATTCAGTAGGATCAATACACCCAGCACCTGCTTTTGTGTGTGCTCCTGACATCTGCATCTGGGAGAGGAATTTTAAAACTCTTCCTTCCTTCGTTTAATCTTAACTTTGATCTGAATGGCATGGAAATAAGATGTATTTAATGGCACCAACTTGAGGAGACACAGTTTTTCACTTTGCAAGCACCCCTCCCCAGAGTGCTGCTGTGTGCCTAAATCTTAACATTCAAGATTCCCTGCTTTTCTGAGTCTTAAGTTTCCTATAAAGCTCTGCCAGTGTGGCTTTTTACTGCCTTCTCTCTAACGGGCATCCTTGCCTCGGATTTCACACAATTCTGCCGCTGAGCCTTTACACAGACCTGTGCAAAGCATTTAAATAGGAATTGTTGGATGCAGCAGCTATCAGATGTGTTTACAGTTATCTACAGGCACTCGTTCAATGTATGCTACCTGGTGAAAGGATTCTTTCCTGGTGTATTAAACATTTGCAGGTGGAATTGGCCACCTTTAATTTCACTGAAGGCTCTTTATTTTTGTGTGCCTCATTCTACATCACCCATGAGTATTTTTGCCAGTTTGTATTTTTAGTTACTCAAAAATATCAAACACAGGATTCAGCGGTACTTCCCCTGTACTTGGATGCTCATTGCTATGGTGATAGTTCCAGGAGGGAGTGCCGTCAGGGGTCTTTAAAAAGATTTTTATGTTTATGGTGTAACTATTTTTATTATCTAGTGAGAGAAGGTGACAATTATCTGTTGCTCCTTGTTTAATGCTTTGTTACGAACTCTCTTTTCTGAGGCTTGTTAGACATGCAGGCATCTTTCTGTGGTGATGTGCAAGCACACTTGTGTGCTTTTGTCCAAATATTCAACGCAATTAAATAGACCTGTAGAGGAATGCAGACTCGCAGCTCCCCCTGCTGTCCCAGGCATATCCAGGTTTGTTCACTCAATTCCCCCTATCCAAATAATTTAAATGTAGAATAAAAATCGCATGCAATCCTATGGTTCTGCTGCTGCTGGCATGACTTTTGCCTGGCCCCTTTACTCCTGTTTTTGAGGAGAAGATAATTGCAAAGAAATGGTAGCAGCCATTTGGTTTCCTATGAGTAGTTTTCTTTTCGGTTCTTCATTCCAGCACATCACCTCCCTGGTCCCGAGGTGTGTCCAGGTCCTGAGCCTCTGAAGGAGAAACTCTTACCAGGGCTACTACTGGCTCATTGTCCAAGACTCCCAGGTTTCAGGTCATCTCCCAGTTGTCCGTGGTCTCTTAAGGTGTATCTATATAGGGCTTGGCCAACTTTTAGGAATGTACTCAATACAGTTTGTTGGAATTTTTTTTTTCTATTTGCTGTTTTGGCAGACTGGAACATTGAATTGGGATGAAATCAACTGTGCTTGCAAATGGCCCATAAAATCTGTGTATCTGGAAGCTGCTTACCCACCTGTTAGTGCTCCTTTTAACAACCAAGTTACTTTCTTGTTCCAGATAATTTTACATTGAAGTTTGAAACATTTTTAGATAGGATATTTGTGGAGCGAATGCTTGTTTGGCCGGTAAAAAAAAAAAAGTGCTTGCAGATCTGCCAATAGTGCACACGCTGAATTAGGTGCAGATATGAGTTTTTCTTTCTCTTGTGGTGGTGTCTAGCTATATATAGGCACAGCATCCTTCCAACAGATGGCTTCTGGAGTCTGCTGTGACGTATGGGAGAGTACAGTCAGAGTTAGACACACATTTTTGCTTCATTAATGCCACGTGCAGACTCTGAAGGTAGTAGGCTTTCTTGTATAGGGTGAAGGTTTTTGTTCTGATGTGGTTACTAAAAGCATAAAGGGGAGTGTGTGACAATTTTTTACATATACCTATGCATGCATTTAATGTTGGGGTTTTTTTTGTTAGGGTAGGCAGTGATCCTTATCGGACTGGAGAGAGTGGAGTTCATTTCTGCTG